GCAGGAGTGCTGAATAATAAAAGCTGTACTCTGGACTGCCAATAGGAATTTTCTTTAGCTTTTGGTGCTGAAGCTATGTTTTAAATGAAAACTGCTAGCTTTTATTTCTGGAATAACAGTAGCGGATAACTATAGCACAGTCATGGATTTAGAGCAATGCTTTATGCGTGGGGATCAATCTTTTAGGCAGGATTTGCTCTCCTCTCCACAACCACTCCTTGCCCCCATGAACATATTCAGCATAGGAAGGATAAACTGGGGGGAGGCAGTTCTTATGCAATTAGGCTCGTCAAGCTGAGGGCAATGATTAAAAATGCCATCTCCGCTTATGAATATTATGTAGCTACAACAAAGCTTGCTCCTTGCCTCCAAACAAAACAAAAGCTCTTTCTTAATGCCAGGACAGCAGGGAATCTCGGTGTCTTCCCCGAGCATTTAAGTGGTTATGAGTGCCTCACCACTCACCAGCACTCAGGCTGCCCAGAGACCAGGAGACACAAATCAATAGGGTTAAGTGGATTCGCTCTGTGCTTGCCTGCATATACACATCCTAACCTCCCCCTGCCTCCCCACCTGCTCTGCTGTTATCTCTCTCTGGGGAATCACCATTTGCCTGCTTGTCCAGACAAGCTCCAGAGCTTGGAGTTGCCAGGGGGTGAAGAGAAAAGCCTTCCTGCTAGAAGGGAGACTTGCCCCATGCTAAATACGGGGAAGAGGGAGCAACGAATGCAATACCATCTTCTGTTACATGAGGCGGGACTACTGGCACTGTCTGGTGACAGATCGTAATGATTCCCTGTCTTCTTAACAGGCAGGAAACATGTCCTGGGGAGCGAATGCCTCATGTAAATATGTATGGGCCTGGGGACAGTGCAAGTGTCACATAGGGGCCTCCCATCGAAGGAGAGGAAATACAATGTCATTTGGAGTGCTGCTTCTTTGGAATTGCAACCACTCAGGAGCACAAAAGGAATGAATCGTAGGATTAATTCACTTAGCTATTGATCTCAGACACATACATTTTCATTTAACATTATTAGGATAGCCAGAGTCTCATAGCTCATAGCTGGTGGGCAGTACAGCAGAGACAACATATGCAAGCCTTTTCCCCCTCTTGCTGAGGAGGTAAATCTTAGCACCCCTTACGGTGAACCCCTGGGGAAGGGTCTCCTTCTACAAAAAAATAGCCTAATGTCTGGACTGGTGACTCTGATCCTGTTCTCTACAGATATACTCTCAGCAACTAATTGGTGGCCCAGATGACATGGAGACATACCCATGGAAATCCTATATAGAAAGCTGTCAGGGAGGGAAGGAAGAAAAAGGAATGGGCTTGATATAATTAGGTCTGGATGTACATGCAGTCATGCACACAGTATCTCAGCTAACCAGGGGAAAAGTTAACCAGGGGAAAAGTTCAAATACAGCCTCCCCGTGTCTCCATACACATTAAGATCTACAAAAGTGGGAGAAGATAGGATATGGTGCAGGGAGGCATTAAGACATTTTTCAGTAGTTTCATCACATGGAGCATGAGGTCTGTTCAGGGTCCTGAATCACTTCTTTGTCAAATGAATCTGCAACGGACTTTCTCGTAACTAGCTCTTACAAGACCACCCTGCCCATGAGCAGGTGGATGTAAGTAAGGGCCAAAAGTAAGTGTCAAAGGTGATGAAGACCATGCTGAGATCTGTGGAGTCACCAGGTGACACCAGTAGAGATGCTGGCACCTTAGATGATCCCAAACTGGGCCAGCTCGTGCAGTTCCAGATGGCTGAAAGCTTCCCATGGGCAAATCACTGTGATATCTGCAAAAGAGAGAGAATGAGAAATGGGTTCTGGTCACTGCACTTCTTGGATTTCTTTTGTATTAATAGAAAGGTTGATTTACTCAGGAAACATTAGAAATGGGAAGAGCAAGAAGAATGAGACTCCACTTGAAGGTTAAATGAGCAGATGAGCTCTTCAAATCTGGTACTACCTACCAGACCGAACAAGATTGGTGTATTTTCTCCTGTGCCATCTTTCTTCGTGAGCAAAAGCAAACCAGCATTTCCTATAGCCTCTTCAATGACTGTGTAGACTGGTGTGAAAATTAATTCTGGTTATGTGGTTTCTCCTGTTCTTATAAACTGCCTGCAGCCAAACTGTGATCTCTTTAAAAACAGGTGCAATCTTAAATCAGATGCTGAATTTGGTCTACAACATTCAGGATCTGTAACTCATTGATAGGTGCAGTTCTTACTGATACCTAAGAAGTTCTGATTGGCTACAGCTCATCCAGTACGTGTTTCTCAATTCCAGATGAGTGCATAAAATTCTTAAAATCAGGATTCCGGTGATAACACAAATACTTAACCAGCTGGGATTTAGTTCCTGTGATTTTTGGTATTAATAGCTTAGCATTTGGCGTTTCTTTGAAAACCTCATTCTGCTGAAACTCTTAGCCAGAGTATTAGCAGAAAAAAGACAAACAAGCACATTTGCAGCCAAATGAAAGTATTCAGAAATAGAAGCACGCCTAAATAGCCTTTCTGTCTTGTAGTGTATGTAAGCATAAGCATGACCGTGGCAGCTTGCTGAGGGAGTACTAGCCTTCTCTGGCGACCCTGAGAGCTGCAGAGAGGCCAGGGAGACAGGGAGCCCACCCCAAACAGTCCTCTCCCATGCTGAAGCATGACTGCGCTTGTGTTAAAGCAGGGCATGACAACAACATCCTGCAGCGCTTACCTGTGCCCAGTCCCTCCATGCCTGGGATGTCATCTCCAAACCTAGGGGAGAAAAGAACAGGTGAAGTGTGAGTTTGGGCCAGCAGCACCCAGGAAAGGGGAGCTGCCCTGCACCCCCAGCCGGGGAAGGAGAAGTGTGGGCGGGCAGCAGATGAGAAGGAGCAGCTCCAGGCGGGAGAGCTGATGGCACCAGGAGGCAGAGGGAAGCCTCCTGGCTCCTTGCCCAAGGGAAGATGGTATCGCAGCTTAGCAGTGGGGAGCCACCCGACTAGCATGGTTTCTTTTCTTTCCAAAATGCCCTTACCCTTTTACTCCTTTTTTAGGAGGCTTGCTCTTGAACTGCCTTGTCTGTCTCTGCTTGAACTTGGGAGGCCCCTTGCGTGGTGTAGTGGGACCGGTTGGAACATCTCCAGTGTTGAGGTTGGTGGCTGGGTTCTCGCTCATCGCTGGGTTGCTATGTGTGGCAGGCGCACGCCTCTCTCAGATTCCTCTGTCTGCAAGGTAACGGCAAGGACTGACACAACACTGCTTATCATTTCTAGGTATCGGTAGTTAGGTGACAGAATTATGGAAAGTATGATTGTGACAGGATTAAAGATAAAGATATTAAACCTAAAGAAAATTGTAATGCACACAAAGTAAGCAGGATAGCACTGCCTTTCATCCAGCATGCTTGAATTAAGATGCCAAACAAAGGACACTTGAGCTAAGAACTGGTTCAGGATATGGCTACAAGGAGCCAGAAAGACACACTTAGGCCTTAGAGAAATATCCTATCCCTGGGAATCATCATGATTGACTTCACCTGTTCTTATACTTGTGCCTAAGCAGTACCTTTTGGACACTGATGGAGATGGGATGCTGTGCTAGATGGGCCCTTAGTCTGGGTGCAGCTGCAATTAGGGCCTCATGTTTGTCAATACCAACCTTAAGGGAAATAGCACAGTATCTTTAAAAGATCGTAAAGAAGGCTAAGGCAAAGCACTGAAGACTGTCTTTTAGACAGAAGTTAATTTCTCAGGATTTAGGAGAGCAAAGCCTGTAGCTTTCCCCAGGATATGTCCATTTTGGTATTTTTGAGCATTATATTACATGGTCCTCTGCACCTCCGCACATGAGCCAAGCTCCATTTCACTAAATAGGGGCTAAATAGTTATCAGGGAGCAATTCTTGTGTGGGAGACATCTCTCCTGGCTTGGGGGGCAGAACTGCTGTACTCACAGCCTTGTGCTTCCTTCTCAGAGAGGACAGCAATAACGCTCACCAGTGCCCAGCCTTTCATCAAATTTTGTGCTGATTAGTATGCTAGAATGATCCGACCGAGTGCATTTATGGAACATAAATAATTGCCAACTTTTTCTCCCCTTTTTGAAGTCACATTCTTCCCCATGACCATTGCATAACTCCTATCTCCAGGTGTTCGTCCCTGTGCAGCCAGGCTGACGGAATCGCTGATGGAATTAACTTCAGGATTTGGTACTAAAGGCTAATCCCATTATGTCACCATAGTGCTCTGGCCTAATCCCCAACATCACCTGCAGTGACACTCTGGACTTTTAATCTCAGAGCTATAAATGCCATCAAAGATGGGTATTTTTTTTCTTAGTCTGAAGACAGTTCATGTCTTCGACAGTCCTGAAACAGCCAGAGTGCCAGAAAGCAAAGCCTGAGTTGCAAGGAGAAAGACCATCCAAACAATCCTTCTGTGTCACTTCCACATCAGTGCAAGGCGAAGAGCCGTGTTTCTGTATCTGCGGCAGTCTGGGAATACTTCACCTCTGACATCTTTCCATCTGTGCTGGCAGTAGGATGGATCCTAATGATAGCACCTAGAGGCATGCTAGTTCTTCTGTCGCTTGCGTTCAGGCTCCTGTCTCAGCTGTAATATCCCGAGCAAGAGACTGGATGGGTTCCAGCAGCCCCAAATAGAGCAGCAGATGGTTGTGTCTGCAGCTGAAATATGCTCAGATGCTATTCCCCGGCCTGTAACACAACGTTTCCTAAGCACATACTGTGCCCACAAACACAGGGATCAGCTCAAATAGTAGAAGTTACTTATTTGGCTGCCATCTCTGAAGCACTTGAACAATCACCCAGTATTTACAGCTTTATCCTCACAGCGCAGTGGTGGGACAGGCAAACACTGTCATCTTCATCTTTTACAGAATGGGAATGGAAGTGCAGTGATCAGTATGACCTGGATTGCACAGCTGGGAGGAATGACAAAATCTTTTGACTCACAGCTTTTTAGGGCCAAACTGAGAGATGAAGGCAGTTTGGCTCCAAACCAAAGAGAGAATTTGGTGCCTCACTTTTACTCAGGACCAGTGAGGAATTCAGATGGTACTGCCCTGCAGCAAAATGCTTTGCATTGCAAAACTGCTCCATGGCATGTCTGCTAATGCCCCAAAGTATAATATTATGCCTCCACCTCAGGAGCAGTTCCCATCAGTAGGGTGTCTGTCTCAGTGCTAGGTACCCCTCCTGAACTACTAGAGACACACATCCACTTCTAAGCACCTTCAGTTCATCTGACATGCAGAGGTACTTGGCACCCCTCTCAAGGGCTACTCCCGAAAGTACAACAGAAGAAACAAACTGGCTAACAGATACCCAATCCTTTGGCCTGACATCCAAAACTTGTAAGAGGCAGCTGAGCTCAGTCTCCAAGTGAGTTCCTAGCATGGTACCTTAACCACAAAAATGTCTTTGAGGGTCAACTCCTCTTAGTTCCTTGAGTCCATGGCCTTGCCCCTGGCCTTCACTCAATAGAGAAATAGCTAATGGGAAGACTCAGTCCCTGGAGTTTCCCTTTCCCCCAATCTGAAGTAGTCGTATCCACCTACCAGCTACCTGATACCTGGGATTTGGTAGGAAAAAGAATATGCCCAAATCACATTTCATCCTCTCTCTCACCTGCATGAATTCAAGAAAGGGCACTCAATGAAACTAAATGGGACAATTCTAACCTCTTCCTTTCCAACCTCCCTCTACCTATTCTCCCATGCATCACCAAAAGAAAGAGCAGAGGATGAAAAGCAACCTTAATGCCACAGAACAGCCTCCATCTCGCAGCAAAAAAATGAGTTGGTGGGACTCACCTGCCATCACACGCAAGCAAAGATGTCTCCATTCATGCTGGAGAGGGCCCTGCCCCGCAGCAAGGGAGCTGCCCCAGTTCCCACACCTCAGGAACCAGCTGCCCCTGCACACAGCCAGACATAGGTGGGCAAGCGGCCCCAGGATCACAGATGCAAAAGGAACAACCAAAGCAGCTTTCCAGGGGAATTTCCCAGTCTTTCACCTCCCCGTACCTGGATACTTGGATAGTCCTTGGTACCACACCAAACAGATGGCTTGACAAACATTCAACGAAACTGGGTCTCCTTCTCTAGCTATCTGCAAGTGCTACGCTGCCTCACCCCAGTGCTTCTCAGGCTGCCAGAGCTCTTCTGCCGCCGCCGGCACTGGGATGCAGCTCCTAGGCGAGAGCTGATGGCTGTGGATGCAAAGGCTGTTGAGGAATGAGATGTTCTTCCACACACTTCCTCTGCCTCCTCCTCTGACAAGGTGTTACCTAATTGCCCCTGACAGCATTTCTGCTCAGACCAGGGTTTAATCCTCTGGGTAAGAGGTTTGCTTGCGTCAGAATGCTAATTATACCTAATACACGGTAATGGGCTTAGCTCAGTTGCGTCAGATATCCCACCTCTGGGTTGCTGGCCAGGTTAATCATCCTCCTTTTAGTTTTCTTTGAACTTAAAGAGGCTTGAATACTACTGACAAATGCTGACTCCTTAATCTGCCCCCTCCTTAATCTCTGATTCTCTATGGAAAATTTCCCTGACAGATAATGATCTTCAGTCACTTGATCTTCTTCAGTCAGATTCAGTGTAGGATCTCATCTTCCCCTGTCTGAAACCTTCAAAAATACAGACTTCTCCATGTGCATTTGCCTTCATGGTGCCTCAGGGGGGTCGGACATAGAACCCCCATGGGCCGTGGCCCTCCGTGCAGTGATATGCTGGGAGAAGATGGCATCCAGGAGGAAATACCCTCGTTATTATATTCCTTTTGATGGGGTTCTTGCATGCTCAGCTCTTGACCTCATGAAAGCCACTAGCATCATCCTTGCAGCCAGGCTTTCATCAGGGAATATTGTATCCAGTGTAAGATTCTCACCTGTGAGGAGTCAGGACTCTCACAACTCCAGTCTCAGTTGCTTGAGCTGGCTAATCGTAGTGATGGAAAAAGTCCACGCAGGTTCAGCCCTTTCTGATCCTGTGTTTTACACAGAATCTCAGACCCTTCGTTCTAGCAACAGTTTTAAGACCAAGAACAAATGTAAGAGGATGCACTCTGAAAGACAGAAACTAATTTCAAGTAGAACTATATTCCCACAACTGCTTCCCAGATGGGGATCATTGGAAAGACTATCCCAGTGGAAAGAAGGGATTCGATAATGCCAGAGGTACAGCATCACACGGTATAAACTCCCCACCGATGTGCCCTGCATGTACGGCTGGGCACCGGAGCAGGAAACATCAGCTGCCTGTCCTGCTGCTCCTCAGGAGCCCCTGGCGCTGCTCACACGCAGGCTCAGCCAGCCAGGGACACAAGCCAAGGGGGTGCCAGGGAGCCCCGACCGAGTGGTGCCCGGCATGAGAAACCGAGCGGCCCCGCGGAGGGCAGAGCTGCTGGCACAGCCAGGGAGCGTTGAGACAAACCACTGCTGCAGCACTTGCCCTAATGTTAGAGGAAACAGAACACAACCACCCAACAACCACAACTCCCTCTCTTAGCTACTGGGTCTGTTCACGCTCTCCAAGCACAAATATCCAAATTTTTCCCCCATGGGATTTTATCAGGATTTTTCTTTCCTCCGGGTTTTGCAGCCAGTTCCTCTTTCATCCCCCTGCCACCCTCGTTATTGCTTTGAGCTCCTGGGAAATACTTACAGTGCCAAGGGCTCCTCTTGCAAATCATTCAACTCTTATCCTCCAGCCTGCATAGAAAGGGTCTTGAGGTGTCCTTTCTCCTCCAGATATACCCTGCCACCAGGTGACATCAGGGCGCCAATTGTGGGCGGGCCCCCGCACGGCGGGGGGGACGCGGGGGGAGCGCTGTCACCCCAGCGCTCTGCAGGCACAGCTCCAGCGAGGTCTGGGGGAGCAGCAGAGCCTCAACACGCTCCTGAGGGGTGACGTGCCCCTTTCTGCAAGAAGAGGTTGTGGCTTCTCCGGAGCTGCTGTGGGGTGATCTCTGGAGAAGCAAAGAGGAATAAGGAAATCACCTGCCTTTTGAGCGATGCTGCTGCTTGTGAACACATGCACACACACACACACACACACACAGAGATGCCTGCACATGCAGGGAAGGGAGGAGTTGGTCCTAATCACGCCAGGTCCCTCCCCTGTGCTGGTGAATGCACGGGGAGGCTTCCAGCAAAGCTCTCAGCTGTGCTGCAGGGGTCAAGACGCACCTGACGGAGCGGTGCATGCGGTCAGCCCGGTGCCGAGAGGGCCGAGTCCGCTCAAGAGAGTCATAGGGAATGCTGCTGAGATGCCGCGCAGGGCCCTGGTGAATATTTAACTGCATCCAGCGGATGGGATGGCAGGGCAGGAAGGGGGAACCTTTATGTTGCACGTGGGTGGCCAGCCAGCGGGGTGGCCTGTCACCTCTGAGACCCAAGGCGTTAGGCTGATGGTAACATCTAGGTCACATCTGGGTACCGGTAGCATTGCTACTGTGAGGGGCTGCCAGAAAGGGAAGAGCTGGTGCCTCAGCCCAAACTCCAACCCAACAAAACTCCATGGATGGTAATGCACACTGTTTTATCAGGTGCTTTGTATCTCCGATGCGTTTTAATAGACCATTGTGGCTGCCTGGGAGATCAGTGTCAGAGACATGGAAAAAGTGGGAGGAGTCTCAGGATGAAAAGAGAAGGTCTAGGGCCCTGCTAGAAGGTGCTGGAAGATCATCCTCAGCTGCAGCAGCACCTCAGTCATGGACTGTAGCTGTCTGGCTCGAGGCATAACCACAGGGTCAGCAATCCTCTGGGGTCTGTTGGCCCTGGTGAAGCACTGCTCACTTACCCTTGTTGAGCATCCAGATCACAACATGAGACCGGGGCTGGCAGGGCCAAAAATGGTCCCAGAGAAAAGAGCTGTGCTAGGAGCATCACAGCAGCACAGGGGCAGAAGGAAACCAAGGTGTGGGTTTGTGTAGTGGTGGATGGGCTTTGTCTTTGGAGGAGGGGATTTTGGAGCAGCCATGCCAGCCAGGGGTGTGACTGCGTGTGACCGAGAAAGGGCAGGCTCCCTCTGACATGACAGACCCTGGCAGTGGGGACCAGTCCAGCACTGCTCTGGTGCTGAGCAAAAGCCCCACAGCCGAGGCCTTTCAGATGGCTGAAGTTAGACGAGATAAATCCCTCAGCGAGACTCTTAGCTTACATATAAAAAATCGATAAGGTCCTAGCCCTTGAGTGGGCACAGAGAAGCTGGGAAGTAAATCCCAGATGCAGCCGAGGGGCTTTCAATCTAGCAGAGAAACAGCAAACACACTTAGTGTTCCCACGTGTTTGAGGACGATCTCACAGCTTCTGGAGGTTTGCGCGATAACTTGTGGGCACAGGAAAGAGGACAGGAGCAGCATCGTGTTGGCATCGTCTCTTCCCTGTGATGACTAAAGCTTGTACACAAATGCGCGGAGATTGATTGCGCTCAGCAGCTCCTGACAGCAGAAGTGATTACTGTGGGCAGGGACCTGCTTGTGTGGATATAAAGAGGTGCAGCCTGCTGGCAGCAGACTCCGCTCCCATCCCTGCTGCTCATTCCCATGCCTCCATCTGCTGCAGACAGGTTTCCGGGGGCTCCTCCTCCCCTTCTGCCTTCTATGTAGGTAGAGTTGCTGGGGAAATCGGCTCTACAGCCCCCTAATCCTCTTTTCTGAACCTTAAAAATTTACATTTTTTCAGGCTGTTTGTTTTCAAAACACCCCGTTTCTTTTCTGTTTTCCCAAAGAAATCTGGCTCATTTCTTTTAACAAAAGTGGACATGTGGGAAAAAAATTTCCATGGTGTCACATGAAGCTATTTTTTGGCCACTGAGAAAATGTGTCAGAAACTCCCTAAATGGCCCCGCTCATCACGTTCTTTCTTATCTCCCATGATTATCAGGCCATTTCCCCTCTCCTCCTCTCTCTGCATCCATCCTCTTTCTCTCCCTTCCCCTCTCAAAGCGGGTGGCATTTGCTTTGCGGGGATGTGAGCGTGTGGCTCCTTTGCAAAGCAACAGGCACCAGCTTTGTGTCGGTGGCCGGCTGCCACCCCGGATGGATGATGAGTTCTGCCCAGGGACCAAGTACCTGATCCCTCTCCCTCCCTGCCCCTGCCCAGGCTCTTCCTCCCCTGGCCCCAGGAAAGCCTCTTGGGCCACATCAGTTGCCAACCGATCCAGACCAGAGCTGCACCAGAAGCCGTGGGGTCCAAGCGATAGCAGAAGTCCCTGTGGCCCCAAAGGAAAACCCATGAGCTTTGTTACCTATGGCCAGATTATTCCCTATTCCAAGGAATCACTTAAAAAACATCTCCAAGGTTTCTGACCCTATTTATGAGCTGGTGTAGCCATGGTAACTGAAGTTATACCAGAAATAGCAGCTCACTAGAATGACAAAGAAAACACAAGTTTACAAGACAGTGACTTTTCCAGGGGCTGGCTGAGCTCATGGGACTGTGGGAGGAAATCCCAGCTGAGGCGTAGACGCGGGGATGCAGCGGATGAGGGCTGCGGCTGGCATGGGCCACAATAACTCTTTTGAAACATATCTCTAAAAGCTTGTGCCAGGTACTTGGGAGACTTTGTGCCTTACTGATAGAGCTTTATCACTTGCCACACAGACATACCTGACTGGAAACGAGCAGGGAATTTCCCAGGCATCTGCAGTTAAACCTTGGTTTCCCTCCTGCAGACAGGCAGCCTACCAAGTGCCTCTGAATTCCTGGCGAGAGACTGACAGTGACAGGACCTGGATTTGAATGAGATTGTCTGTTTGTCTTGTAGAAGGTGAGTGAGGTTGTCATGTCAACAGCATTTTGGTGAGAAACTTAGTGTACCAAGGTGTCTGCAAAAGAAGATTCGCATGCTGTAACCCTCCTTCCCCAATGCCCATCATATTCCTAAGCTGTCTGTTGTTTTTGCTAGTGAAAAAAGAGAAACAGTTATAGAGGATTGGGCTTTGCCCAGTATCTGGTGCAGATATTTAGCTGTTTGAATACATGCAAATCAGTCTGTCAAAGACGCAGAGAAGAAGGCATCCTCGTGGAGAGTTTTATCGCTCTTCCTTCAGGAAATCATGCACCACTATTCTCGTGTCAGGATTAAGCATCTATAAACCTGCAATAAACCAGGTGTGCTGACTTTGGGAATCTGTGCCTGCTGCCGGATACAACAATTACGTTGAGTGTCTCCGAGCTCAGCTTGCAAAAGAGCGTGGTCTCAATTCTCTTTTCTACTCGTGCCCTGGAGGCTGCTCTGGCAATGGGGCAGAGATTAAAGAGGCTGAGGACTGTTTTTCCACTGCCAGGGCTCTAGAGAGAGATTTCCATGGTCAATCTGGAGAAAAGGGTCCTTTGAGGAAACACAAATCAAGCCGTAAGGTTTAGCTGAACTATCAGCAATGGCCCTGTCTGTGTTAGAAACTAGGCGGCACTGGGGTCATGACTAAGTCTGCAAGCCAAATGGCCATTGCCAAGGCTTCTTCAGGAAAAAAGAAGTCCCTGCTTATCTCATTCAGTCAAGGGTTCTTGATTTGTGCATGTCAGAACATTATTACAGGCCCCAGGCTTTCACGCACCAATGCTTTAGGACATGCTGGGGCTTTTTATAGCAGATGATACAAAAATCATGTAGCCTGTCATATACTTCATTAGTTACCAGAGAGTTACATTTTCTTCCGAGCAGTGAGTCTGGTCTTTCTTGGAACAAATAACCAAGTCTTACTATCTAATACTAGAAGACTGCTACATTGGTATGATTTTATTAACTTACATGAACTTTTCCCTGATTGGCATAAATAAAAGGAAAACGAAAATGAATCCTCTCTTTTTCAGATAGCACTTTTCACCCACAGATCTCAAAGCACAGAGCTAAATTTTCATCATCCCTGTTTGTAAATATGGAAACTGATGTACAGAAAGTTCATAGACTTGCAGACGAGACCCAGCCATCCAGAAATCTGCTGTGGGGACTGTGCTTGGCCATTTAGCACAAAAAGCTCAGTACTTTATAACTGCTTTGTGATTCATTGTTTAAGAGCATCCCCCTGCTCATTGCAGAGTTGTCCCACGAGAAAGCAGTAACATTAGTGAGCGTCCTTTCCCTGCACTAATAACTTTGCTTAATGTCTGTATCCAGGCTGTTGGTAGTGCTGCAATTGGATTGAGTTTGTAGATCATTTAAAAAAGCTGCCTCTCTCTCCTGTTTTCATACTGCCCACAATTAAAATATCTGTTTTTTCTTTTATAAGATTATTTTTCTCCTAAATGCCATTTACAGAACATACTCAACGTTGATATAGTGAACCATGACCTAACATTTTTTCCCTTTTTTTGAGCAAACTCAGGTAGTTAATCTTGTTATCTAAGTGACTGCCAGAAAGCAGAGCATGTGGTTGCTCTTAAAAACGTACCTGAATAACACAGTTTTCACAGTATTGTCTCAAGGGTCTTCCTTAGATTTTTCTTTTTCCATAATTGATTCCTTCTTTATGAATTACATGCCATATACCTGTGAACAGTGATTAAATGATCCACTAGCACTCACTAAAATGATCACACATTGAACTAAACAAAAAAGTAATACTGCCTTGTTTAAAAAAAAGAAAAAAAAAGAATAGACTGCAAGAGAGTGTTTTTATTTAAATGGAAATCAGATAATTCCAGAGCTTTATTCGATTTAAAACAGTGAAGCAAATGATTCAGTGTCACTGGGCTAAGATGAAGAAACTGTACACAA